CACAAAACTTGGTACAGAACTCAAACACAGAAACTGCAGTGTACAACATCTGAAAGTAATATAAATGTTATGAATTCTCACTGTGCAGCAGACATGACTGCACATGTTCACTGCATAGATCATTTTTGCTGCTGAATTAGATGAAGGTAGTTTTATCCCGCTTCTTTTTTTTGCATGTTTTTCTGCCCCCTTTTTGTGTGTGTCTAACTCGATTTTGTATATTAGTTATACAATAATTATTATGTACTGTAATTAAAAGTAAAAGCCCTTGTAAAAGTCATAACCTTGCTAGATTTTGGGGTTTGCATTTGTTTTCTATTTATATTTCAAGTGCATCTAAGGAACATGCTGGCTGAAATCCAGTTGTATACTGCAACTAGAGAAGGCCCATTCAGTCAGTGTGAATTTGGTGAGTCAGCTCTTCTGAAAATTCCATTGATTCAACACCCCTGGTCTAGTTACAAATTCCTTTGGGATTTCTGCCATTTGGTATTAACTGTGAATGCTGAGCAGAGAATATCCCTGTTTGTTAGAAATGAAGTTATAACAGCCTCTGTTTTTCTTCCCAGTCTAAGTCACCAGATATTCTTGGGCTACAATTCCCAAAAATCCTGTCCAGCATAGCTAGTGGTGAAAGCTTCTGAGACTTTTACTCCAAGAACATCTGGGGACCAAAGGTTGGGAAACATTGCTCTCGAGTCACTGGAAAGGAACATCTCCTAGAGCTGATATTTATAAAGCTCAATAGGGTTATTTCACCGGGAAGACAGTGTGAGAAAGGACTAGGATGCTGATGGAGAAAATCTGTTGTGCAAAGCATTTTATGAAAGTACAGTGGTGCCTCACTTTACGAGCACTCCGTTTGACGACGAAATTGCATTACGTTGAAGATTTTGCAATCGCAAAAGCGATCGCAAAATGATGTTCCCTATGGGGGAATTTCGCTTTGCGATGATCGGTTCACTGTTTCAGTAACCGATCATTGCAAAGCAGCGATTTTCGGCCAGTTGATTGCCAGTTTCAAAATGGCCGCTGGGTAAAAAACATGGCCACCCCCTGTTTTCTGGCACAGATTCCTCACTGCACGGGCAGTGAAAATGGCCATGCTATGGAGAATCTTTGCTGGACAGTGAGTTTTAAGCCTATAGGAACACATTAATTGGGTTTTAATGCATTTCTATGGGCTTTTTAAAATCTCATGACGTTTTCTTTCGACAGCGATTTTTGCGGAACGAATTAACATTGTCACGCGAGGCACCACTGTATGCAAAAAAGAGGGTAGGCCAAAAAAAAAAAAGATGTGGGATTATTTGCTCAGAGACTCACGATTCCCCTACAAATAACAATATCCGAGAAACATGGGAGGAAAGCAAAATAATCTAATGACAGGGAATACAAAACTAAGTGGCTTTTGCTGAGATCAAAGTCAACATAAATGCATACAGTGGATACTTAGCTTTACTACCCAGAGTAAGTGATTCTATTAACAAAAGCTTTCTACACCGTGTCACTATCAACATAACAGTGTGTATATTTTTGAAAGCCAAAGTGTCAGAACTATCCAACTCAAGCCTTAATCCTAAAAAGGCAAATTTACGTCTGGCCTATACAAAATTCCCAGTTCACATAATGACATGTTCTGGGGTTTAAAGGAGTCCCATCATCTAGAAAAATGTGGTGTTCAGGGAAAATATGAAATGAGAATCCCTCTCATTTACATTAGGTTTTTATATACTGTACAGTGAATAGTTCTGTGTTTTGAAAGAGGAACATTCAGTAATCTAGGTCCATACTGGTGCTCTGGCCCCGTGCAGCTTGCCCAAGGCCACACAGGCTCACTCTGCTCCTGGGAGGCACTCTGCAGTATTGAAATCACATTTATAACCGAGACTATAAATCGCCCTGAAAACCCAATTCAACAGCAGTTCATTTTCTCAGTAGAACCACGCTCTAAGTTTATTAACTTAAAAAACAGAGAGCTAAATTGTGATCTCCTTCCTTTTAAAACAGTGCAGTCTTCTGAATTGGATTTATCACTCTACGCCTGTGCCACCACCCAGCTGGCACAATAGCCACTTCAAGTAAGCAGACTAACTGAAGAAAGTGCATGAAGACAAATAATAAATACTTCCCCCACCTATTCAGTGATCCTCCCAGACCACCAGACATACCAGGAGCAGTGCACTTGGATTTTGTGTGTGTGTGTGTAGGAGAATGAACGTGGTAACCTCATGTACCTCTGCTTTTATGATCATAGTCGAATTCACAAACATTTCCAAGTGGAAATAAGTCTAAGAGTACATCATTCTTTCCAGGTTCACACTGACCCATACTCCCAGATAAAACTGCTCAGAGGTTTACAGTGACATGCCACTTCGCTATTTCCTTCTTTCCCTTAGCATATTCAACAAAACATAATCAATTTAGTCAATTTGTATACTAAAGCTTGGTCTAAGCTGCACTGATGCTGATTGGAAGTAAGATTCTCCCCCCACCCCACCCCACCAGAACAAGTTGAGTATGATGTGGATACTACATTATCATTCCTGTTCACAGATTTTCCATTTTGATGGGCTTAAATCACACACATCCTGTTCGGCTGTAAATGAGTAAAATAAAATAAGTGGAGAATACCTAACATAGTCAGAAGTTTAAAATTGTGTCTGTTTAGCCTTTTGCTGATAAATCATATATTCCACTTTTCAGAAAATCCCTCCATTATTCAAAGAGCTATCAGAAGAAGGGCATCTTGTACAGACAGCCTGTTTGCTTCGTAGTAAGCACCAAATACTGACACAAGGGTTCTTTCTACATTATTTTTAGATCATATCTCTGTTACAAATGCTAAAAATGGAGCGTGAACTGCAGAACACACATTTGACACAGGCTTTCCTTAATAAAGAGTCTCTTTCCCATCTGGATTCCTATTTTATCACATGAAATGACCCTAATTCTGAAAGGTTATACACTGGAATAATTTTACTGAGCTCAGCAAAACAAATATTTGATATGTGAATAACTATCAATAACTATCATTCAGATATGTATGCTTACTTTCTTGTTTACACCTTTGCTATAAATAATAATCACTCTTTTAGTTTCATTCATTGTTGTGTTATTTTGGATGTATGCCCTTTTAAAAATTCCCATATCACTTGGAAACAGCTGTCTAAACTTAAACACCATTTTTGTGTTTCCTTGATCAGCAAAAGTGCAGAAGAGGCATTATATGAGAGTGTTTAACTGCTTTCTTGCTGCCTTACTACTACAATCCTAGAACACTTCATTACAGTCACAAGACCAGCATTGTTCAAGGTCAACAATACACACCAACATTGCAAACATGCTAATACAAACCTCAAGAAGCCTGGTTCACTTTTCTGGGAGATCTTCACTCACTGGATAGTGAAGCAATACAGAAGGAAAATAAGTAGATACTAAATGTGATTCATGTCTATCAGAATGCCTGGCATTTCCACAGGAGAAACTACATAGTAGGAAATTACTGAAGCAGTTACTGTTCCTTTTTTTAATCTCTCTTTTTATTTTTTTAAAAGCAGTTCTGAGGTGATTCCAATAAACCAGAGACTAACAAAATATGAAAGCGGGGAAGTTTGCTGACCACTGGCTTTGCTTAACTGAGTTAATTTAATATGCATTATTACCAAACTCACAATACAATATAAGCGCCTTTTCCAAAATATTGAAGGCAGCTAATAATATAATAAATAAAAGCTATTGTTCTTTTTAAAAACAATAATAGATACTTAATTTGATTTCTGAACAACAACTGATACTTGGTAACATGACTATAACTGTGCAGGGTTCATAACTGCCATATATGTTAACTGCGAGCTGGCTGATAACCTCAGCATCAAAAGCAAGAAGTAAAACTTGCAACATTAAAAATAAGGAAAATTGAATGTTTTAGGGAAGTTAAATTAGAAGCACAGCAAACTTCTGTATATAGGTAAAGGTAAAGGTTCTTGACAATCTGTCCAGTCGTGTCCGACTCTAGGGGGTGGTGCTCATCTCTGTTTCCAACCCATAGAGCTAGTGTTTGTCTAAAGAAAATCTTCCATGGTCACGTGGCCAGCGCGACTAGACACGGAACACCATTACCTTCCTGTGAGCTGGCTGATAAGCTCAGCATCAAAAGCAAGAAGTAAAACTTGTAACATTAAAAATAAGGAAAACTGAATGTTTTAGGGCAGTTAAATTAGAAGCACAGCAAGCTTCTGTATACAGTGGTGCCCCGTATAGCGAGGTTAATCCGCTGACCTTGCAGCACAGAGGCTTCTGAGATTTATACTGTACTGTATATACTGTTTACTGTATATAGTAGTAAACAAACTTAGAAAGGAGATGATTGTTAACTATGTAATCAACAATGCTCTCTATTCCCAAGGGGACCTTTTCCATTTTTTCATTCTCTAAAAGTATTATATTTATGTTATATAATATTTATTTGTTATACAATATGAACTCATAACATAAAAAGTGTAGAAGCAAAATATTAAATAAAGGAAAACCCATGATTAGTATGTTCTTTAACAGCAAGATACTGGAATCATAATAGCCTTTAAAACAAACAACTATGCTCTCAGCTCACAGACTAAAAGTTAAAACTGGTCACCACTGATCAGCCAATCAAAGTGTTAGCAGATTAATTTATCAGTTAATTCCACCCCCAAATATAGTCAAATACATGTTCAATGTCTATCATCTTTTACTAATCTTGATACAAATAGTGGAATTCCCTTTATATCTCTTCAAGCATGTCTCTCCGCAATACGTCCCAACGAACTCAGTGGGGTATGTTCTGGTATGAGGTAAGAAGAGAGCCTTAGAAATGTTTCACTGAAGTTATATATCAAGCTAATGTAGTGTTATTTTATTTTATTTTTTTCTTGGGAGTCAAGATTTGTGGAGGGGCGGGAATGTAGCTTGGAACACAAATATTTCATACTGAAAGACAAGAGATATTCATATTTCAAATGTTAAAATGTATACTTGGACTTTATTATCCATATACTGCACGGCAAAATAATTTTGCAATGATATACTTCCTATAAATAAATAAATATTTAACAATTTTGCACAGTTTACAATAGAACTAATTAAAAATATTCCTTATCATTCAGCTCATAGACCAGGAAAGGAGGTTGCCTTCCCCTTCACCATGAGCCATCAGGGCATTCATAACTACTTTTAAAAACATCTTCCACTACAAAAAAATGGCAGCTTCATTGCATTCAGTAATGTTTTGGTAACATTCATCTGCTGTTTTTCAAGAAGGTAAAAGCACCAAAGAGATCAGAAAACACACACTGGAAGCCAAAGGGTTTGGGTCACAGTTCAGTTATGTGTTGAATTTTCCAACTGCAGTCAGCAAGAGCATCCATAGAAATAATTTGGTAATGCCTGTTAATGAAACCTCTGCCTTGTTGGTCTGACTATAGTTTTTACACAGCCACATCGCCACTGGAAATATAGGATGTCCATATCTTATAAAACACCAAGAAAAAGCAGGAACATTAGATCACAACTAAACAGTGTACTGGCCCATTCAACTCTCCATAAGAACAGGGCAGGAATCTTGGTCTCACAGCTGAACCCTGCTGCTTTCTCACCGAAATCACTAGTCTCAGTGATCAGTCTACCTAAGCTTCCTTCTGTACAGTTTGAGTGTGCATGTTTATTTGTTAAATCAACTAAGTTCTGTTTTAGGTTTTTTAAAAACAGCAGCAATATGTCTTCTCCTCCTAAATTACTGTATATTGCTGAAATAAAGATGCATAAAGCTATAAGTGAATTTTTGCACAGAACGATAATGAGTCAGTTCTACAGTGAATTCTGGTACTACAAAACAAATTTCCAGACTTAGAGGTGTTCAAATCTGTTATGTGATCCAGGCTCCAGTTGGTAGATCCTGATGTTTTTGTGAAAAACAGATTCCATAAGCCTGATGCCTGCCTATCCCTCTATCAGAAGAAATGATAAAGCACTATTGTCACATCTGTGGAAAAAAACCGTTAATAGATAACACAGTCCACACCGCATAGTCTATCCTGTCTTGTGATCTGTATGCAAGTCAGGCCATTGCCCTCATGTTCCTTAGCTCCCAGGGGAAAACATGCATCCAAGATTCCTTAAGTTATCTGTGAATTGAATCATATCTGTCCTTGGAATTCATAAATATTTCTATCCAGCTTTAATTACACTTTCCCATCACCTCCTGCCTCCCTTCAAACATAACAGCTCTTATATTTTCAGTCTCAAAGAGGCACTGTTTGAACTAACATGCTGCAGCATCACACCAGTCTCTTAGTCGGATGGCATGTGTAACCCTTTTCAGTCTGTGCAAAAGGATGCTTCTTCACCATATAGCACAAAACCGTTCACAACAAGACAACCACGACTGTGACGCTAACAGCGATTCCAACCAGCATCCCTTGACTGAGGCCATATTTTGGTGAGGCAGCAGGAAGAACTGTTGGTTCCGTCTCCCCTGAGGACTCCTCTTCTTCCAAACAGAACTTTCCATCTGGACAAGAACATATATAGCTGCCTGGAGTATTGACACACTTCAAGTCACCGCAATACTCTGACCCACACTCATCAATATCCGTGCAAACAGTTGTCCCGTTTTTGGTGTCCAGGACGAAGCCGTCGGGGCAGTCACAGGATTCCCCAGTGTGCGGGTCGCACAGGGCGGGGCACTGGCTCTGGTTGCAGAAGAGGACGCACTCGTGGGGTTTCCGCCGGTCGGGCACAAAGCCTTCGTAGCAGGTGCACCGGAACCTGCCCTCCACCCGCGTGCAGTCGTGCTGGCAGGCCAAGTCGAAGCACCGCTGCTGGTCCTCCAGGCACCGGCCCTCCACGAGCTCGAAGCCCGCGAAGCAGCGGCACTCGAAGCCGCCCTCGGTGTTGACGCACTGCTGCTCGCAGGGCCCCGGCTCGGCCTGGCAGTCGTCCACGTCCCGGCAGCCTCGGCCGTCCGCGTCCGGCTCGTAGCCCTCCATGCAGACGCAGGCGCCGGCGTCGTCCTGGGGCAAGCAGGGCAGCGGCACCGGCCCTCCACGAGCTCGAAGCCCGCGAAGCAGCGGCACTCGAAGCCGCCCTCGGTGTTGACGCACTGCTGCTCGCAGGGCCCCGGCTCGGCCTGGCAGTCGTCCACGTCCCGGCAGCCTCGGCCGTCCGCGTCCGGCTCGTAGCCCTCCATGCAGACGCAGGCGCCGGCGTCGTCCTGGGGCAAGCAGGGCAGCGCAGC